TCTCCATAGTCATACCTGCGTGCAGCCCTTCAGAAACAAGGCTTTGAGTCCTCCACAGCCTCTCACCAGAGCCTGGATGCCATCCTTAGTCACTTGGTCACACCAGGAGATATTCAGCTGTTCCAGCAGTGGGCATCCCTCACTTGGGAGGCAAAAGGAAAAGTGGGTGGAAACTTAAGAAATCCAGCTTCAAGCCGATTACAGGAAATTCCAATTTCTGGACTTCAACTGAGCACAGGAAGCGACACGCACACCCCACACCCACACGGAACATTCATTTATTAAACATAAAAATCCCCAGATGAGAGCAGCTCTCCAGTGGTAGGCTTGGAAACCAGCAACTCAATTTTGTGGCATTCTGAAAAAAGAAGGTTGATCTCTACTGCATCCAAAGCCGGTCATGGGGCTGCGTCCCACCCCCTTGTCCAGAGACTGGGCGCATCCACAGTGTTATTGGCTGAGAGGCCTAGATACAGCCAAACCAACATTAAATCAGATTCAAAGGGCTTCATTTTTGAAACAGGGCCTCTGATTTTCCAGACACAAACTTGTGCTTGAAAATAGCTGCTGGCACAAACAGAATGTATACATTTGATTTGCAGTCAGGTAGACAGACATATAAATGCTATCAACTGTGATTGCAAATAACTGCAGGCACAAAACTGACCCTATAAAATTGGAGGCTAGGTTGAAGCCCTTAAACAAACAAACAAAAAAACAGGCTCAAATTTCTGAAAGCTAGCTACAAAAACAAGCCTCTCTCCATTTTCTGTACTCTGATTCCTTTGATATTTCAATGCAGCCTCTTCACTATTTTGTTTTCCTTCAAATTAGTCTTTCTATATTTTTATCCTTTTTAGATATTCGAATTTATCATTATTTAAAACCCACTTTACTCACTTTTTTTGTTTTTTTGTTTTTTTAATAGTTTAGGCTTCACTCTTTACCTTCAGGGTTCTCTTTTGTCTCTTTTCTTCTGTCCCAATCTCTTGTCACCATTGCCTGTCATTCCCTTTCATTTCTAGATTACTTGGCAATTACATCTAGTGGGGTTAAGTAGTTACCATGTCACCTAATCAGTTTAAGACAAGTAATCATGTGCCAGTCTTTATTTTGCAACTACAGGACACTTGCTATCTATGCAACGGGAGTTGTGTAATTCAAAAGTCAACTATTAACAAAAAGGTATTTACAAGGCATGTTAATTAAAAACTAAAAAAAACCTCTGCCCCCTGCTCAAAAAATAAATAAAAATAGAAACCTCAGTGCAATCCAATTATGCTACTGCTGCTAATCATTATCAGGACAAGGCACCTTCTATTTAGTTCCTGTCTCTTTTGCAGAGCAGAGGGCATTACCCAGCAGAGCTCAGCATTCATGTCTTAGGTTTGGATTGCAATCCTAGTAACCTAGTCACTTATTTAAAACTCCACCAGGGGAGTTCAGAGAATAGGGGACATGGTGGAGTAAACTATTTAGAATTAAACTGGTGCACGGGATCTCAATGCTGTCAGTTCCTACCTCAGTGCTTTTAGAGACAGGTTGGTTATGGAAGTGCAGGAAGCCAAGTCAAGGTGCCTGAGTTTAGAGCAGAACTTACTAAGGCTGGTACATGTCCTGAAAGAGAATATTAAAAAATATAAAAGATACTTCAGACAGTACATTTATCCATCAAAGACGTACACAGAAATGATCATGTATATTTCTCCATCACACACTATGTGCACAAGTATATTCACATAAGCCCCCACTTAAAAAAAATAAAAGGATGGAGAATACAACATGGGCAGGTATTGGAGGTGGGCTGGTGGGAGAGAGGATAGAGGAAATGCTCTTTCTAAGCAGTCTATATGTGTGTGAAGAGGACAGCGATTTTCTTCACATTTTGAATCATTCAGTTTTCGTTGAGGGATTCATTTGCTCAAAACCCAACGCTGAAGACCGTTCTAGAGGACATTTCTAACATCTGCTATCAAAGGGGCCAAAATAACTCTTAGATCTGTACCCTCTACCCTATTTTCCCAGCTTGCTGCTCAAGATCGTTTTGATAGTACTGAGAAACGTCTAAAAATGAACAAGGAAAAGTACCAAGCATCACATGACTAAGGGCACATACTGCACACTAGAAACAGGAGCTGGGTGCTGGTAGCAGTCTAGAGTAGATGGAGCACATCCGAGGGGCTTGCTGTTTAGCTGGGACTTCAAACTCCCCGACACCAATGGCAGTGATTTCACCTGCCTAAGGATTCATTTCTGAGGGAATAGCAACAAAATATGATTTTGTGCAGACTGTAGGCAACTATATACTGGGGAAACCAGCTGCTTCTTTTATCAAAGCCTTCAAAATAATTATCCAACTAGTACAGTGTAGAAAGACCCACAAGTGCCTGAAATATACTGCGAGTGACAGCCAGTGATACCCCTTAAAAAAAATTCTTAGTAGTGAGGCCAGTCTAGAGGCCAGCTGAGAAACTCTCAGATGCCATCGCCAACCCTGCTATCTAGCAGAACTGCAGAGGCAGAGAGTCTGATCCCACAAGGTGCTGAGCATTCTGACCTGGAAAACAAAGACGAGCTATGGATTTGACTCACAGGACTATATTAAGCTTATAAAATAAAATTACTAGCAATGCAAAAAGGAGTATTTCCACCTGCTAATAAATAACTCATCCCTACACATCTTTGCTGGCTACTGTTAGTCTTTGCAGGATGTCTTATCTCCAGTGGAAGGCCACATGAGATATGAACAATGACTAGGCTGCATTGTCTGCCCCCAAAAGTATGAGTTGTATTTAAAAGCTATTGTAACACTGATGCTTAGAAGTTAACACACAACAAAATTTCAACAACATGAAGTGAAGCTATTTCTTAACAATAGTTGCTACTTGTATCAGAAAAATATGTAAAAAAGCTTCTTTTTAAGGGTTCCTTCAGTTGGCAGATCTTATTTGTCCAAGGAAGCAAATTGATTTAGTGGATTTAACCACTATTCTTCTAAGAAGAGTATTTTAGGCCATCATACTTTCATTTTGAGACTGATCTATACTTTTAGATGCAAAATCTATAGGTAATCAGTATAGAAAGAGCACACATGTAACATGGTTCTTCCCTCAGTCCCTCATGTACTGCCACTGTAGGAAACATAGGGATCTTACAGTTTTGTAAGTGATGTTTTTTTAAAGAGTTACAAATAGCACTCGAGCAGGAAGACAGCAAAGTGGCAGAGAAACTAGATAAAACTTTGATACACGCCTATTCAAGGCAATCCAGGTGTAACCTAAAGCATAGCTGACCAGCTGTCCATAGGAAAAAATGTCAAATCTATGTGGAGTGGATGGAAAAGCAGAAGAACTCTCCCAGCACATAACAGTCTGTGCTCGGCAATGTGGAAGTACTGACACACATTTTACGATGACATCTGCTGTCCTCGGATAATAAAATATTAACCAAATTACATCCATCCATACTCATAGCATTTATTAAAGAAAGTTAGAGTTTAAGTACAGGCGAGCTGACTCTTGCCAACTCTTTTAGGAAGGTTCCTTTGCAAAGACATACACCCCCTATCTTTTCCCTGGTCAGGGCTAACGTAGATAAGGATATGTGGAGAACTTCCTTTTTCCCCCTCTCTTCTGAAGCTCTCCCTCTCAGCAAAGGCTTCAAAGAGAGACACCCCTTTCCACCAAGATAGGCAGTCTCTCCATACTCAGATTCCCTCTGAGACCGTCTCCTTTCATCACAGAAATGAGAATAAGACTGCAAAGCCTCAAAGTGAAGCCACCCCCCACCATCAGCATGAAAAAGGGAAAAAACTGTAGACATTGGAATTTAAACAGACAGAATCACTCAAAGTATAATTCAAGCAGTTCTGATTCTCCAAGAGGTGGCAGATGAGCACAAGCACCATAAACTAAGCAACTGTAGCCGCTCCATGTACAGAGAAATTGCAGTCTCCATAAATTCTGACCTGGGAGAACAAGAAGAACATCGCTATTTTGTTCCATTACAGAGTGAGCCTTACTGTTCTGAAGTGGACACCTTAGCTGCCTTTTCTGCATCTGAAAACATGAGTCAGACCTGCCTAAAAAGAATTATTTCCTTAGTATATTTTCCCCTTAATGTCAACAACCTGATATGATCATCTGACTTGAAATAACGAGTGAGCAACGTGACCTAAGAGGTTTCCTGATGTCTTCAAATTTTTATCAGACCATAACAAATCATTCCATCTGGAGGTAGACCACTTACTCATACCACATTTAGAAAACAAACAGTACTAAGCTCATGGGGTGGGACAACGGAGGAGAATCTGGAACCACTACCTTCCATTCAGTTGAGACATAATTCATGTATATTAATAATTACAAGGGTTAATAGTCCAACATTCCCCCTAATAAACATGTTACTTACGTATCTGTGATCTTGGTGCAGCCATTTAGGTTCAATACTTCAATATTTCTGCAGTTTTGTGCAAATATCCTTCATTGGAAAAAAAAAGAACACTACTTTTCAGACAATGCGTTTCCAGATGTTTTGAAACAGATGCTTTACCCTCAATACTACAGAAATAATTAAACAAAAAAACAAAAACCAGGCACTGTTTGTCTTGGGCAAACTGTTGACCCTTCCCACCAGCCTTTTACATGGGTGCACCTCTCAAGCACATAGAATCAAATAGGCTGCTGAATGCTGGGCTTAAAGGGCAATGCAGAACAACAGTGAGTTGTTACCCATATCTTGTCTTTGGAGTTCTCTCAGCCCAGGAGCAAGGGACAGAGGTTCAAGTTTCCGGTGCCAATTCCCCCAATATTGCAACACCATCGGGTTGACTCTATGCTGCTATTTTTTAAGGGAAGGGAAGGGAGAAAGGCTCATATTTCAAACACACACACAAAAGAAGGATATGCATATTGTTCATCATTTACTTAAGCGATTATTTTTGGATGCATATTGTTATTGGTCTCACTCTAGCACGTTGATGAGTGGATATACCATTCCAGCCCTCTATGGGTGGGGAAGGAGAACCATTCTTTGCTTCATAGTTAAGAGTAGAAGAAGCTATACCACTACCTTAATGCATTGTCTCCCACTCCTAGACACCCACGCAGGCTTAGCTTTCGCAAGAAACCCCCACATCTTTTAGAAATATTCTCCACTACTCGTCCCTGTAAAAAGACAGGAAAAGAATTCTACTGATATCACTTCTTAGTTTCCACAATCTCTTCATTAAAGTTAAATTCGAAACTTTGTAGATTAAAAACAGTTTGTATATTATTCCAGACATAAGGGCACTGAGCAAACACAATTACCATCATACCAATATAAAACTGAAGGAGACTGATTCAACTTCTAAAAATGGACAAGGAACAAAACCCAAGGAAGAAAGCTGAGGCTAAGCAGTAGAAAAATCCTCTACAGTCAGAGCTATTGGGCAGTGCAAGAGGCTACCCAAGAGATGGCTGAAGAAATACAACAAATCACAGAAACAACACGTGACAAGGATTTCAAATAGGCACATGTTGTCATAAAAGATGTAAAGATTTTTGTTTTGGGGGACAGAGTGGAGCTGAATAATGCAGGGGACTTCTCTTCTCTCACGGAGGAAGCATTTCAATTTTCCTCTCAAAGACATCTGGAGAAATGGAGTTTAATGTCATATTTTACATGAGAGAGTATCTCCCCAGAGACCCCAGGACAAGTTTGAATTTTCCACAACTTTGGATGATGAAATGGTAAAGAGACAGAGGAGAGGAGAGAAAGACTATACAAGTCTATCAGCACACACAAGTTTCAGTGTCCAGTAGTATTTTATTCTCCTCCTCTGATCATTGGAGAATGGAAACATCAATCACTTTCAAGTGTTAGCTACGAAGAGTTTGTATTAAGAAATTTTTAATCCCTCCTTCCCAAACCAAAAATGTATGTGAACATTAGGGTAGCTGCAAAGTATTAGCATGATCTAAAAGGGCTATCAATCTGCTGAGGCCCCCTCATTTACCTTCCTTAAAATCTACTCTGAAATACTACTACTTTTCAAATGCCAACTGCAGCTAGGACGTGCTGCAATGGCTAAAAGGGATAAAGGAAGATAAATCCCATGCTGTATTTTAGAAAAGGAAGGTAACAGAATTTTAAACCACGCATATGTTTGTATAGGCCCTCAGTGGCCTCACCACAGCTGTGAATATGTTTGGGATTGCAGAGGATTCAAATATATTTTAAAGAAAACGCTTAAAAGCTGCAAGTTTATCTTCCTTTAAGCATACAACATTTAGGACTTAGCCTGAGAATGTCCTTTTAGGTTAAGAACAGCAGCATTTTGGAGCAGCTTGTATTAAAATATAAGTCAATGCTAGTGCACAAATACGTATCTGGTACCCAACAGATGAGTAAGAGAATGGGGAGACTTTACAGCCATGTAAAACCGCTCAAGAAGGGAAAAGCCTAGTTTAAATTCACAGCATTACTCTCTCCTTCTTACACAGTTTAGATAAAGCACCACGGCTGAAAAGTTCTTTCCTCATTTCCTGCTCCTACCTTGGATCAGGGAACTCCAATGATCTCCCTGCACCTGTGTGAAAGTGAAGTCTTATCCCAGCAGAGAACTTTAGGAATGCTCTTACTAGGTTTACTTTCTCCCTTAATCAACAGCTACGTGTCTGAAGAAATACTTGCTGGAGAGAGCAGGACCACATTTGCTTTCCTCCTTCAAAACACTCTGGGCACTTGCCAGACTTTTTGGGTACACAATTTGCCACATCAGAGGCCAGTTCCTTTATGTCTGGAAGAGAGAGTACTTTAACGCTTCTGTCCACAAAGGCTGTGTAACTTGCAGCTTCCACCAGGACATTAAACAAACCAGTCTCAGGCTTATGGTTTTCAGTTTGTGTTGAGCTACAATGCTGCTCTCCTCTCCCCATCTCCAAAAAATAATTTTTAAAATGAGAATGTAACAATCTGATAAGTTTAGTTTGTTTTTGAAAATTCAGCCAGGAAGAATACAGGGACTTTAGTTTTCAGAACAGTAGGACAACATGAGGCACAAAGTTATCATTTCCTACAGGGACTCCACAGTTCACTTCTAACAGATTGATCCAAAGTTACAAGAAGGCATTCCCACAGAGGTACATCTTTTAGAACTAACTCAGAACTGGAAATCTCTGGCATCTTCCTGGTTTGTGTTTCCATTTCCAACAAAGGAAAACAGACACTAGAGACTGAGAAATTCAGTGTCTTAATGGTAGAAGTCCAAGTATACCAGATAAAAGCCATACTTAATTATGTTGAGTTGGAGAGAAAAATCTAGACCAATACTTATCAGCAATATCTTTCAGCAAAAGCACATATTTACTCTAGTTATTTCAACTCTCTCAGTAAACAAAAAACTGCTTCTTTAAAATAAGTGTACATGTACACACACAAATACCATTCAGTCCAGGTACAGTTAAATAGTTCTGTCCATTTTCAAAAGCTGAATGAATTGCCAAGACTATAAAGGCTCCCTGAAGCTAAGAAGAACTGAAATTAATGATTTTTATCTCCAGGGAAGGTGGAAAGGGTTATGCTGGGAGTATTAATCTATTCCATACTGTAATTATGTTTTTAAATAAGAAAAATGGGTTTGTATGTCACTTAATTATACCTCAATATCCCTCTGGAAATCAAACAGGTCAATTCGCTGCCAGTTACTGCCATCCAGGGCCAGAACATTCCATGCCTTTATTGGGGAAAAAAACGTCAGTGCATGATTAATATGAAAAAAATGCCAGTGGGAATCTAGTTACAATTTGTTCCTTTTAGAAACAACATTGTGTCTCAAGTGAAAGCACCAAATAATTACTGCAACTGATGAAAAACCCTTAGATCAGCAATATCCTCAGTTCAGACAAGACTTACCACACTGACACAGTGCCCTCTTAATTCCCCATATTTCACTGAACACTTAGGCAGGCAAGTCCAAGGTGTCACGGAGATTATCCGCACACAAATGATATTTCCATTTATGGGCCACACAAACTGGACTTTTTATTTTGTATTTTAGAAAGGAGCTTTTCAATTGGAGAACATATACAGGGGTAACATATGGATCTCAAAGCATTTTACAAACATTAAACCTCTTAATATCCGTGCAAGGCAGATCAGTATCATGTTCTACATTTCACAGAGGGGGAAACAGGCAGAGGCTAGCAGGTTGATTTCAGAGTTGTGGAGCATCCACAGATTCCACTGATAGCAGTGCAAGCTGTAGATACTCAGCACCTCTAAAAAATATCAGGTCACAGGTGACTTGACAAAGGTCACAGTGAGTCAGTGGAATAGCCAGCAACAGGCCCGGACCACCTGACTGCTAGTCCCTCTGCTCTAAACGATAGACCACTCACTATATATTTTTCTGGCACTTTTGCTTCCTCAGTGACAGCTGTGTTCAATCGCCAGCTTTCCGAGTTCCCTGATTTCCCATCCTCTCCTTCTACTCAATTCTTCAGTCACTTCACAATGCTGGATTTGTGACAGCTGAATCCCGAGAAACTGACCAAGGGTCGTACACACAGGATGACATCACTGTAGCATCAAGCAGAAGGTGAAGTGGGGATGTGAAAAAGGAAACAAATACCAGTCTCTACATATTAGCAACAGCAGCGAAGAAGAATGCTGAAGAGTCACAAGCAAAGGTAGTTTGCTCATGTGGGCTCCAGCATGAAAGTTACAAGTCACTAAGAGTCTCACATATTTATATCTGTGATTTCTGAAGTGACATGGAGCACCGATATAAGCAAATCCAATCAGTGTACAATGGACGGTGTTTAGAATTTTGGCTTGGCACCAATTTTGTGCTATTTAACCACAAAAAAAGCTAAAAGGGATTATTATAGAGCCAACTTAAAACGTGAAAAACAAGAATACTCAGAATTAAGGTAGAGAGCCTGTCCCTAATTCACATAGGTAGTAAACAGGCCCCAGAACAGACGTTATACATCATACATGCTAAAATGCTCAATAAGAAAGAGGTAGGTCAAGGATGGAGCCTTAACTTTGCATTTCCTTACCTCTGTAAATTAAAAATCAGATGCTTCTTTTTTTGATGTTATGGTTTATTTTTATACCAGCAATCAAACTTTAGCAACTGAGGCTATTTTTAGAGCATACATTATTTTCAGCCAGCTAAGTTACTCACCTGTAACCAGAGTATTTCAAGATGAGCCTCTGCTGCATATTCGCATTTGTGGGATCAAGGCACCTGCACGGCAAACTTCCAGAACCTTTTGGAAAGCAGTGTCCATTGGGGCCACTCACATCTCTTCCCCCCAGGGTTCCAAGGATTTGAAAGGGGGAGTGGCCTTAAGCTCTCCCCCCCCCCCCACCGCTTGTTTCCGGAATTCCTAACCCGAGACTCAAAGGTGGGGAGGTCGGGTGAATATGCAGAGGTTCATCTCGAAGATCTCTGGTTACAGATAAGCAACCTTCATTTCTTCTTCAAGTGGCCTCTGCATAGTCCCACTCAGAGGCGTAGCGAGCGCCCTCCGTACCCTCCGACCGGAGGGGGCCCCGCAAGGAAGGGGGCCCCTAAAAGTGGCAAAAAAAATGTAAGGGGCCCCGCCCGGACATATGTTCGGAGGGGGCCACGTTCTTTGTTGCTACGGCCCTGGTCCCACTTGTGGGAGTTTAGCAAGCAGTACAACCCCCAGGAAGGGAGGCTGTGGAGTTGTACGTAAACAAGGAAAGCAGAACTGCCAAACAAGCATCAGCTCTGGATGCCAGGGCAGGAGAAGCAACCAATCTTGCTCTCACAAAACAAGTCTAAATGAGGGAACATTTTTGCTAAACACATGTATAGCTCCAATATCAGTAATGCAACATGATGCCATGAAGACAGAGTGACAGCATGCCAAGGACACTCCCTTTGTCCAGGATGAGGAGTGACAATTCCAGGAAGATGAAGCCCTGTGAAGTCATAATTGTGAAACAGATGAGCAACCTTTGGACCATGACAGACTGGCTCCTAGCATGTCAGTTCCTTTTCTCGAAGGGATTGGGAAACATGTAGATAAGCTGTGGCCTGATACAACAACAAGTTCTTCTGAATATGAAGATGTACGATACATTCAGGGAGGCAGGTAAAGGAGGCCCAGGACAAACAGACATTCTAGCGCTCTGAAAGAGGTGGAAATCTCAGACATCTTAGACTGTTGTCTACACAAAGACGGGTACCGAGTAGTCATGAGAGCCAGGCATTTAATAGAACACTTGCTGCCAGAGCATGGGCCAATTGATAAGGTACCTCTCTCAGTAAAACATGTATTCTTTTACTCCAGTCACACTATGTGTAAAGGGACAGATCTGTGACTATGGCACACAAGGGTGCATACTACTAGTACCCTTCTGGAAATAGGAGAGTTCTGTTTCTGGAACCCAGAGATGAACATGATGAATCTCGGAGTTAGCACAGCCAGACAGCATTTTGCTCCATGCGACAGTCCTATTGTCCACATTGTACGATAGGTGAATGAGACTTGCCACATTGTGGCCAGGAAACAAATCTCCACACCCCACTAAGTGTAGGTGATGGAAATCTCAACCCTTGGGTGCAGCTGTTCCTTCCAAGATGAGAGGGATCAAAGCTATGTTTACGGAGAATTCCAAAAGTGCTAAGTCAACTGCTTCATTAGACTCCAGGTCTATTTCTTCCAAGGAAAGCTTGGTAATGCTAAGGATGGGCGTCCCTATGTGTTTCTAGAACCCATACAAGGGGCTATCAAAGACACTACCCAATCCTAGACACTGCGTACTCCAGGGTGGAACTGGAAGCAGACCTGAAAAGTCTCCTTCCTGGTTTAGAATTGAAGGTAGGTAGCCCAGAGCCCAGTAATGCTCTAACAACATTTCCTCCTATGAGAGCTCAGACACATGGATCCAACCAAATATTATGATGTCAGCTTCAAGGAATATCACAGTCCCTCACATAAAGCTCTTAATCTAAAATAGGACCCACAGCGCACTGCATCTTATTTGCAGACCCTTGGCAATGCGCCTTTTAAAACAAGTCTCTCCTTTTTTTGCCTTCGCATTCAAGGGTTACAAAGTGACTCAGTCAATAGGCCGTCCTTTCTGGAGCATCAGATGGAGCCTGTGACACTGCATCCTGTTCCTCCTATCCAGGCTGTGTTGCAAAGAAATCTCTGAATCCGTGAATCTCAGAATCGATAGAACGGTGATGGGTATAGTACCCTCACAACCTAAGGGAGCCTTGGAGCCCAGCATCAGTTCTTAGCCTGTCAGATTCTTGTAAATCTGGTCCTGGACACCTGAACTGGCCTTTAGGAATGGGCCGGGAGCCCAAGAGAACCTCAACAGTTCCCACCCAGACCCAAGGGGAACTGACAAGTCCAGGACTAAGTAAATTGGCTTATACAACGTCTCATAGTAAAAGAGTTTAAGAATAGACTAATCCTCCTTTTCTCACTCCAGGGTAAGGGTCTGATAGATGGAGCATTGGGAGGGGAAAAGCTTCTCCCAGATAAGCAGGGCATCCAGCGAGTGCTTCTGAAGACGACTGAACCCGAAGCACAATGTGAAAATACTATGCTGTAACAGAGAACCCGCATTCCAGACCTGATCAGAAGCTTGCAATGCATTTCCCCTTTCTAGTTTGTGAGGACCTCCAAACTGATCTGCTTGCTTTTGCCACTACGTTGGGCACAGAATCAGTCAGGCAAGCAGTTCTGCAAAGATCGTGGTGTTGTAGTACCAGAGTCCAATGACCTGGGCAGATCTGGGGCCTCAGTGGTACAGAACTCTTAGACAAGTGATTCAGCAGTAACAGATGTCAGCTCCCCATGCTGGCTAGATCCCAGGTAATCAGATCCCTTCTCGGCAACTGTGCTCAGCAGTCCATGTGTGACTGCTGCATCTGGATTCAAGCTCTGGCCCTTCCTCCCATTTGGATCCAAAGCCAATCACAGCTTTTTTTTTTTTTCCTGGGCAGGTGGGGGTAACTCTAGATCTTTGCTCTGTTTGAATTCAGGTTTTGCAGCTCCCAGATCCATAGGAGGCCACCAGATCTGGATCAAGATTGTACAGCCCTGGATACATGCTAGGCCACTGGATCTAGGTTTTGCAGCCCCTAGATCCACACTAGGCTGCTGGACCTGAGCTCTATGGATCCAGATCCATTGGAAATTGGATCCAACAGCCAGAGAGCCAATTTAGGCACATAGCTAGGTATCCAGGTCAACCTGGATAGATGCAGAGACTTTTATAGTGACCAGCCTGAGATGCCTCCCACGTGCCGGGGTGCAAGAGACAGCCAAACCCGCTCCGGCAAGACAATCACTGAAGCTGACTGCGAACTTATTCAGTGCCAGCTCAGCTGACTGGAGGAACCTGCCCCCCCATGAGCAGGCCCAATCTGCTCCTGTGTGTCCTGACAAAGCCCATGCTTGACAGGCATCTCCTCATGTCTTTTAAAAGAAAAACCTGGCTAAATGACAACCCATTACAAACAAAATTTGCCTCAAAAAGGTAGAAAGAGAAAAAAGAAAAACTGACAAGGAATGGGTCGAGGACACTGTGCGATCTGATCTCGCTGCATCTTCGGCGTTTAGAAAAGGACTGAGGGGTAGCTGGGGCCATTCCCCCTTTCATACCCTCAGAACTCGTTAGGATGGGGGCACGAGGCGAGTGGCCTCAATGGACACTGCTTTCTGGAAGCTTGTGGCACAGGTGCCTGGATCCTACTAGTGGGAATATGCAGAGGCCACTCAAAGAACAATGGACTTTAACATACAGAGACTATATATTTAATGCTCAAATTGTTAACTAATCTAAATGGGGAGGATTCCTAAAAACTGGCTGCATTCTATAGGCTAAGAGGGCCCTTATTGGGAAGGGGATGGGGAACTATATAAATGTGCCCAATACCTACAGTGCAAAGGTTTGATGTGTGTGACCCCACTGATCATTATGCTGTTCATAACTGTCTCATTGTTATCTTGTGCTCCCCAATTTTATTTGTTGCATCTGCCTGTTCTCTAATCTTATACTTTGACTGAAAGCTCTTCAGGGCAGAACCCATCTTTTTGTAACGTGTTTTTACAGTGTCTAGCACAACAGGCCCCTGAGCCCAACTAGGACTCTTGGGTGATACTGCAATATAAATTAATAAGTGTGAGGATGGCTGGGACTAAGCAGGTTTCAATAGCTAGGGGAGAGAGGGGTCTGAGCAGGATTAAACACCCAAGAGGGGTGATCTGGTGCTCACAGGATATCCAAGCAGCCAGTGTAACTTCAGTCACTCAGTGCTATTTAGTGAGACAGAGGATACTGTATATACTCGTTCATAAGCTGAATATTTTTAGTAAAAAAGAGACGCATCAGAGAAGGGGGTCGGCTTATGAACGGGTATAGAGAGAGGAAGAGGTGGGACACAGCCCCCCGCAACAGAGGGGGCAAGGAGAGGCAGCACAGCCAGAAGGGAAGAGGCGGGGCCAGAGTCTCTCCACCACGCTGCTCTCCCACCAGCCTCCGAAGCAGCTGAAGCTCCGGGGCTGGCAGGCTGCGACCACGGCGCCTGGCCCGCTGGAGCAGGCTGCGGCTGCATCGCCCGGCCTGCCGGCAGCTCTGGCCAGGCTAGAGACATCCTCCCCTGGCCCACCCCAGGCAAGGTGGGAAGGGATGGGGCGGGATGGGGTTACATGGGGAGGGGTCATGTGGGGAGGTCCCAGGTTAGGGGTGGCTTCAGGTACGGGGTGGTCACAGGGGTTACTCCCCTGACCCCCAGCTTTCCCCTCCCCGCCCCAAATTTCCCCACCAGTTGCTATCCCGGCCCGTAAGGGTAAGCCGCTGGCGGGCTGGGACATTTTGTTTACTTAGGTTTACCTCCATGCCTGCGGACACTTGAGGTAAAAATACCGTCCTGGCCCACCAGCGGCTTATCCTAATGGGCCGGGAGCCAAAGTTTGCCGACCCCTGAATAATAGGGTCAGCTTATGAATGGGTCATCAACATTTGCCATTTTTACTTTTCCATCTTGGGGAGAGTGGGGTGGGGTGTCAGCTTATAAACGAACAGGCTTATGATCGAGTATATACAGTACTTGGGATTTTATCTTTTAAATGCGAAGCGAGTAAATACACAATCTCATACATGTGCACATCATGGTAGTTACGAAGGCAGAGGAGTTACTTTGCATTCATAGAAGCCAATATGTAGATATTAACTCAGCTCTTCTTTTAAAATAAAGGAGTGGCTCAAGCCACACTGTACAACAATCTGAAAAAGACTAAGTTGTTAGTGCAAAATATCAGCTGACTTAAAAAAAACCGTGTTGAATTGTTCATAGTTCAAGGCTGCTTATATCAAACTCGAGCACAAAGCAGGTTTCAGAAAAAATAATAAATCCAGTGGGGGGGAGAAGGGAAAACAGGGAGAGTTTATAATTAATACACTGACTGTTAGCTTACTTATACTATTTGCCACATCTATAATATTTTGAGACCAGATTTCCATGACAAGGTCAGTGCAGTTAGATATAGTTGGGAACTTGTATTGGAAGTCTCTGCATCTCAAAGATTACCTTGGAACGATGGAAAAACTCCATCATATTTGGAACAAACAATCACTGCCAAGAGAAGCACCTTCCTGCTCTGAAAGGACTGAGAGTATGTACTGTGGGGAGAGACTAATTTCCTAATAGGCCATTAAGTGAAAAGACCCAGTCAACACTAAAAATTAACTTCTCAGAAAAAAGAATTAAGGGATTTCAGGGAGGTTTGGGCATTTCTCCTTCATAAGTCCAATCCACTGACATAAAAGGTTCTTCCATTATTAAAGCTATTTCATATGTCAAGTTAGTGTCTCCCAAGTTCCAAAACTTCATCATTTATCAGCATTTCTCCATAAACTGGGGTTATGGGAGCAGAAGGGGGTGAAGATGACATTGCAACCTTGCTGAAGTCTTAAAACTTCCTATTCTCTCCTGGCTCTTCACACACACAACTCTCTAGAGTTATGCCAGTCATGATTTTCACAGGAGTGCATTTCCTCTTCTCCTTATTTTTACCCTGATGGTTTTTGCATGGACTTGCAATGCTGAGAAAGAGGCATCATTGCTAGAAGATACGTCTGGAGTCAGGGCGGAGGGTAACTGTACTGAATAAGCAGGATATGCACTTCCTGAGTATTCACTATGGCTATGAAGGCCTTAATACACACTGTAGGTTTGTTCTTCAGTGACACTTTTGATTTAGCTGGCATTGGCGGCGCTGGGCAAGGGATTTGATCCCAGCCCAAGGCTGAGGAGATGCAGACTTTGAGACTGATATAAAAGGTGGTGCCAAGACCGGAGCAGCAAAATGAGTTTTGGGTCCTCTGCAGAGGACTTTGGAATAGAGACTAGTTTCAGTATCCTCAATGAGCCCAGAGTATCCGATGTAGGCATGGAGAAGCCAGATGGGCCCACAGCCTGAAGTTTCTCTCTTCTAGTGCAAGGAGTGATGATGGCATGGCAAACTGCACACTGGGTTACCGGAGAGTCTCACGCAGACAGAGAAGGCACTGGCCACAGGAGTCAGTCTCTAGTATGACTGCCAAGCAGGAGGTGCATTTCTTGAAGCCCTTATGAGGGTTGGTGCCCCAAGATGGCCCATGTGAAGGGGGCCCAAGGATACCAGGATAAGGACAAGATGTGTACGCTAAACTATTCTATGCTACTCTAACCAAAAGAAAAATAATCTAGGCCAAGGCCACAAAGGTAAATTCTGTTTACACTAGGCTACAGAGGAACTGAGGCAGTTGTGGGGGCGTGGGAAGGGCGCGCACACCCTTACGTAGAGTAGGGCAAGTATGTCACTTTGCACGAGATCTCTCCTGTTTCCCCTGAGGACAAGGTTTTATAAAGCAGTTCCACAGCTCTATGGCAGGGATGCCATATTCCACAAGCGGGAATACACAGAGTCCTCCAAAGAAGAATCCATTGTTAAAGTTTCACCTCCTTAATAAAATGCACTTTGCAAAGCATTTCTGTAGCACCACGACTGCTTTTGTTCACTTTAAAAAGTGATTTTTTTTAAAAAAGAAGAAATTGATAGGCTTTTAAAAATACGTATTACTTACCCTATGAGTGAGAACAAGTCATTGGAGGCCTGTAGCTTGTGTTTATTAAATGCAAAAAGGTACATTAAAGTAATGTTAGGATTGCAGTTTTAAATACATAAAAGTCATGAAATAAAGTTATGTTCTCATAGCACCTGTAACTCTGCCATCATTCTATTTATAATACACCATCGCACAAGCCACACACTGAAGTTACCATTACAGTATGATGAAATACTGCATGTTGCATGAACAAGGAGGTAGAGTTTACAGTAGCCGATGGAACCATAATGGAATTATCTGATTTCCGTGCATTTAAAATCTCAATCGTCATATTGCTTTTATGTCCTGTTTTTCATTTAATTACCTTTCCCCCTCCCTCCCCCCCAAGGAAAATATGAAGTGGAAATGTGCCAGTGGACCCAAAACTATTCAGCTTTCTCCTACGGAGTCAGCTGATACTGGGATCAGCCAATAAGGTAATTCCAATATACTAGTGACTCCACAGACAAAAGGATTTTTATATAAGCATTTAGAACTTGATTAATTTATATGATTCATTATGGTAATTTTTCTGTGAACAAGGTACGTGTCTTGTTAGATGACAGCAAGATAAAAAGCAGAAATTCTGGACAAGAGTCCATAAAACAAGTGTAGTAGCTCCGGTTGAATTGGCACTTGCGTTAGTGGAAGTTGCACACCCATTTGCCCTCAAGGAGTCTTGAGTTGCACTATGTTTGCTGAGTTGCATGAAGTTACAAACTACTTTACTAGTTAAACACTGAATGAAATGCTCAGGTCTCCTTCCATCTCTATTTGCATCAGCTACATTGGAGCAGACGGAGAACTGTTCATTGGACTCTCTTCATTGTGTTAAAGTTTAATTCACGAACATGGTACATCTGCATTAAAAGCCCAGATGTCAGCACAACTCATTTAAAAACATCATTTAGCTAACACGAATTGAACACATTTTCCCCTGTTCATAGCAGCGCTTCTAAAAACTGTTCAGAAAACATTTTTTTAAAGTTTTGATGTAGCTGGGTTTTTTTCTTCAATGGGGCCTTAGCTGCCACCAAAGGGATATACCTAGACTTTCAAACCCACTCACTGCTGTGGTAAATACCAGAAACTCCTGGCATCACTAGATTAACTATGGAAAAAGAGGAATATGTATAAATAGCCGAGACATTCTTTGAACAGAGTTTGCTGGCATGTTCTTCCCAATCTGAGATAAAGAGGGCAATTTGGAAATGTCCGAGTCAGAATAAGAGAAATAGTGCGGATAGATTTTAACTGATACATAAAGATTCTTACCCTGGAAACCTGAGCACAACGACACAGAGTGACCACATCCAGAAAAGAGAATATTCTGTAAAGAAAACAAAGACAATCTTTCTTTATAAAAAGGTATTTTGGTTATTTGCATCTAAAATAAAAAGAAAGTGGAAAGCTTAAAAAAAAGCTTGAAGATAGAAAACTTCTTTGTAATGCAGATGAAAGCTCGGCTGCAAATAAAAGTGCAGCCCAAGCAGTTAACAAATGAAAGCAGAGTCACAGATATTGGACTGCTAAGAAATATTTAATCTTGTACCTTGTAGTATTTGCTGACAGAGTAAACTGAACGATTATTTATCAAAACAGATGCTTCCTGCTCCCTTGTAGCTCAGCAGTCAGAAATGTTCAATTAGTTAAGGAAACAGCAGGATAAACGATTACAGTTCAACACAAGAGAACAGTTGTACAAAATCTGTTTGTTTACCAGTGAAAAACCCCTTTATCCTTAACAATTGCATAGCTCCAATGGCACTCAGTGGAGTGCATAACAAGTTAAACACCTCAGTAAAATCTGAGGATCTGGTCCCAATTCAGGAATTTATATATAATTTCCTGTGATAATTAAGAATTAAATACTACAATATGAGAAATGATTAAAAACACTGTCGTCCTCATGCCCCAAGGATGAGGTGGAAGGAGTATCTTGCTTTGAAATAGAAGGTAAGTGCAACTTGCATCAAGTCAGCAGAGTTATTTAGTGTGCCTGTGTAATTGTCTAGGTCACGTGTGCAGGACCGGCTCTAACTTTTTTTGCCACCCCAGGCAAAAAAGAAGAGCGCCGCCCCACCGTAACACCCCCCCCCCCCCCCGCCCCCCCCCCCACCCCCCCCCCCCCCCCCAGCACCGCGCCGGGCCGCCCAAACCCCCGGAGCGCTGGGCTGCTCAAACCCCTGCCCCCCTCCCCGAGCGCTGTGCCGGGCCGCCGAAACTCCCGCACCCCCCGAGTGCCACGCCGGGCCGGCCAAACCCCCTCCCCTGAGCGCCGGGCCGGCCAAACCCCTGCCCCCCCCGCCCCGAGCGCCGGGCCGGGCCGCCCAAACCCCCAGAGCACCGGGCCGGGCTGCGCTGCCGAACCTGCTCCCCCCACCCAGTGCTGCGCCGCCGAAACACCCCCCGCGCTGCCCGGCCGAAACAAACAAACAAACACACACCGCGAGCGCCCCCCACCACCCCAACATTGGCAGCCCCTTCTAAGGTGCCGCCCCAAGCACGTGCTTGGTCGGCTGGTGCCTGGAGCCAGCCCTGCACGTGTGTCAGTAGTGAGCTGGCTAGGTCACTCCTACGTGGAATGCCGTTCCTTTGCATGAGGGCACTCCCAAGAACTCTGAACAGCTTGGTGCGCAGAAGTTCATCTACTTATTGGCCTATTTATCAGAATCCTAGAAGCAGTTTGTTGTACTTTGTTGTATTTTTCACTGGGCTCCATTTTTCTACTCTCCAGTCATTTAAGCATATACAAATAAAGTACAAAATCCACTTAAACTCGGAGGAAATCAGGTGTTTATTAACACTGTTGAGAACCACTGGTCTAGGGGTAAGAGAAGGGAAGACAGGCAGGCTAACTGTGGAGAAGGGGGAAAAGCATGGTTTGGGAAACATTTGGAGCTTGGAAAATAGAGCTGAAAAAGACATTAAACAGCAAATGCTCATGATGGCAACTATAAAATTGAATTTAATCACGAGGTCAATAGTTTACTGGAGAGACAGAACGTATTTAGTGAAGAGACAAGATCGTATACATACTTATGCATATATGGAATGTATGTATTCATATTTAAAATTGAAGAGTTTTTAGGAAGAAGGAAACTTATTAACATTCGCCTTATACAAGGGTTAAGGGGATAAGCTAATTTTTCCAGGTAACTATTGACAAGGTATTTTCAGTTTACTTTCATTCAAGGTGCCTTTGTTACTGGAGTAAGTGTTTATATAAGGTTAGAAACATTAGTGACTAATTTAAACTCTACTCACCCCCAGATTTTCTCTACTGTATGTGGCTGTCGGGGATTTGGGGGTCAATTGAACGATTAAAATCCCAGAATTTTTTGCACACATTTGATTCATTTATTTTTTTCCTTTTACATAACAGGATTAGTTTTATTGTGGAAATATCTAGGTAATATTTTAAAACTGCTGTGATTATGATGCAGGCTTTGCTAGTGAGGAATATGTTAGACAATATGACCGATACACATCAAACAGTTTCAAAGTGCCATAAAGAAGACAGAGCTTCACAAACAAATGCTCCAGAGCATTAAGCTAACCCAGGAAATTAAGGCTGTCTAGATAGTCCACTGACATGTATGGCAGAAGTAGATGGGGCACCTAAAGACTCAATGCACCCCAACAAAGCAGGAAGTTGAACTAGGAGGGACCTGGGACGAGAGCTGAGGGCACTGTACAAGTTGGACAAGGATTTGGAAACCCTCCCGCAAGTTATTCCCCTCCTTCACCCCTATAAGTTTACTTTAGAAAACTCCTTCTCACTCCCAAGCCTCACCAACTTCTGATCTTTCTCCAGATCGGCTAGAGAGGACGCTAAAACTGAAAAGAAGCAGGAGTGAAGAGGCAAAGACTGATAGGAACGGTGGAGTAGTACCTTATATAAAGTGGATGATTGACAAACCTCTCTGCCCACTGTTTGCTGGTTGGTGGGCACAGATACTGCAACAGTTGGGACCATGAGGTGCTCAAATGAACAGTCCTTTAGCAGAAGTAGGAGGGGGCTGGCAGCACGGTGTTCTTGGTAAGGTGTCCACTGTTCTAGACTTCACTTACCTCCTTCGTTTGAGAGAGCCTGGATACAGTGACCTTTAAGAATATCCTACAAGACTCCGTTCGTCCGTCCCCAAGAGAGTCTAGTGCAGTGGTTCTCAACCATATGCGGCCCACAATGTGTTATGTGGGCCGCATCCAATACTATCTGTATGGCCCTGAGGATGTCACATGGGCCACAGCTGTGTGCTGACTGGGCCGCAGGTTGAGACCCACTGGTCTAGGTGTAAGAGATGGGAAGACGGGCAGGCTAACTGAGGAGAAGGGGGCAAAAGCATGGTTTGGGAAACACTTGGAGTTTGGAAAATATTGCTGGGTAGTTTGTTTTTCCTTGCATGATTTATAAGCCTGGCAAGATCCCTGGGCTGAAACTGTTTTATATTAATTGTGTAATGCATCCACAGCCTGGGATAGATGCAGAGAATAAACTGCGTAAAGCTGGGGGAATGAGGCACTTAAAATAATGAACAAACGTGTACTGCTGACAAATTCCACTTTACACCACGTAAGAATTAGGAGGGGTTATCAAGGCTGCTGCTGCCAGCAAACCAGCAAGACAAAGCAGTTTGTGAACATTAATGTGCATACTTTGTATTCAAAGATAGTACAATTATTTGCACAAGGTAATCTGTAAGTAGCAAAGCCATGGGTTTGCAATTTTTCAGAAGTGGAGACTGGCAGGGCGGAATGACATGATATGCTACAGCAAATAGCATTATCAAAAGAGAGTGAAAAACTTTGACATTGTCATCAGTGGAAGCATGTCTGCTGACTACCTTGAAAGGAAATAAGATATTTATCACATCCACTCCTCAAAGACAGACAAAAATTAATTCACAGACATGCGCCTCGCTGGAGGTCTCATTTGTCAACATGCTGAAGGTCACCCTCATTAGCCATGTTGTTTAGCTTTGCTGTAGGAAACAGGATTGCAAGCCCTTGTTTTCATTAACCTTGTGACCTTTGGTGCTCAACAACTCTGCACTGGCTCTTAAGTAGCTCTTTCCCCTACGGATGACAACTGGAGAGAGGGGAGCGCACCATGTGTGGGACAGAACAACAAGAAGCCTACAGCAGAGCATTGACTGTTTTATAAGCAAAGTGGTTAAGGCCTTGTCTATCAGAGAAAGGTTTTTCAGTGTATTTTCCACTGCTATAACTACAGCAAAAGAGTGCTTCCACATAGCTTTGTTTATGCTGGCTTAAGCTACTTCCCTTGTGAATCACTGCATTCACAAAGCTCTGCGCTTGTTTTTTTTTTTAAATAACCACACAGCATTCTGGCCACATATCCCATGGTGCAATGTTCTGCCACTGGATTTTACATATTCTATGATTTCTTCTCGATGCATTGTGAAATGCCGCCTGGAATTCTGTGGCTTGGGGTCAATCTAAAACTCCCATGACTCCCCTTCTGACATCCCATAATTCATCTGTTTTCTGCAAGCCAGCATCATTTCCACGCAGCATGGAGGAAACACTGCTGAGCGCAGTGATCTGGACAGTCATTTATATAAACAGGCTCTTCCACGTGTATTGGCAGTTCTGTAGCCAGATAGCTTTGAATGAGTTGGGAGACAACCACTATCATGCCTCAATGCTGCTTATGCTTAACAATCTGTCCCACCTTGTATTTAGCCTGGACACTGGTTACTTTCTCCAGACCTGAGGAAGAGCTCGGTGAAGCTCAAAAGCTTGTCTCTTTCACCAACAGAAGTTGGTCCAATAAAAAAATATTATCTCATCCACCTTGTCTCTCCTATCCTGGGACCAACACTACAACAACACTGCAAATATGCTTTTGGCAGCCAGTCCACAGTAGGGTGGGAAAAGAACAGTTACTTTTTCTACAGTAACTGACTCTTCAAGATGTCAGGGTGGATTTCGCTATAGGAGCACATGGGCCTCATGTGCACAAGATGAGATTTTTTTTTGCATAGTGGATCCGTTGGGGGCAGTGCATCACCCATGGCTACCTCATGCTCCCATACAAGGACATAAAAGATGGGAGCACAGGCAACCTTCCCTCAGTTTCTTCGCAGTAAAAAAGGTCAACGTAACTGAGGATTTCTAAGAGCGGAAGGGAGAGAAGGCAGTGGGATCCACATTGACCATATCACCTCGAAGGACCACAGTTACTGCAGGGTAAGTAACCATCCTTTCAGTGTTAGTTTGGACCCCATTGTGGGAGACTGGCAAGCAACATCTCCTCAGGACAGTGGGAATGAGGAGGTCAAGCTGAATCAGTTGAACAGCGAC